CTCCGAAGTGACAATGAATGTTGATCACACATTCTCATTACGAGATCCTGATATTTCTCCCCAACATGGGAGGGTCGCGCTTCTATTTTGCTTGATTAAAGTGGAGTACTGGTAGCTTTGCAATTCAGAAGGACCGATTCACCTTAAACACCCGCTGCTCTGTGTACGCTAGCTTGTTTGCTCTTGTTTCTCGAAATTAGCACTAGGACCGCATGGTACGATGCAAAACTCCCAAGCCTGATGTGTCGAATGATACCATATATTAGGTTGTTGGCAGTGTTGTTCAGGAAATATTAGTGATGAAAGCTAAAGCGTCTTTTACTAATGACCCTGTATTAATAATACAGATTGATTAATAATACAGGAATTTCCACTAAGCCCTCCTCGTGGGTGTCGTCAGTCTCTTCTCATCTACTTTTTCTCATTCCAGATTGCTACACGGGCAGCAACTTAGAGCAACCTTGGTGTTGAGGCTTCCCTATTTCAGGGACTGTGATATTGGTTGCGAGTTCCAAGCCAGCACCCCATACTTTCTAACAGGAAACGTCCGCCGTCTTACGACTCTGCCTCATGTCCCTTTTCAATGATAAAAAAGTGTGCAGGGCAATCACTGCTATGCGATTCTCTTCGTCACCCCACTCCTTGTTTACGGCACGCACCACAGCAGCCAAAATGTTGCCAAACAATACAGCTGGTAATACACTGCACGAATATTAGGTTACATGTTTCTAGCTTCTTTCGCTAGAATGCAAGGAACATGTAAATGATTTCCCATTTCAATCACGTCCACATGTGCGATTGCACTCAGATTGTCAATAAAAATGAAGTATCCACCTTTGATATAATCAGCATTGACAGTCAATACTAAACATCCCAATTCACCGTGTGACGAGTCGTTGTGCGGCGGGTGCGGATTATGCCACAGTTTATGCTCGGACGTGTTTGTATTCTTTCACGCTCGAGTTCCACGATGTTACTCACATGCTGTGCTGGATTCATCTGCTGCTGCACAGACTCCATCAGGGGTGCATCGCCTCCAGAGATAGCATGAATTTGATAAAGGTGGATGCTTCTTCATGATTCCCTGTTGGATACCAATTGACCCGTATTCTATCTAGGGCATCTATGGCTCATTTTCCTCACAGCGTCATCGTTCTCCTAATGGAATATAACGGCTCCCGCACGATCTCCTCCCCCCTTCGTCCTCGACAACGTAACGTAAACATTCCGGGTTCGCACTGATGTGGTTCAAGCATACTTGGAAAATATTCAAGGAAAAGGAAAGAATGTTACTACTCCTGGGAGTAAGCCCGAAAATGTAAATATTAATTCTAGTTGCAGAGAAAGTCTCGGCAAGGCGGAGTTAACGATATTATTCTTTAAATCATGTATTACTTTTTTTACTCTTGTACATATCCTCATAAACTTACACCTAACCTTTCTTCAGTGGAAAAAGCTTTAGCAATAAAAAATTCCGAAAGAATTCCATGAGTTTTGGAATGTTTTCCACACTCTAGAAATTGCAGGTGATAGTTTCCGCACTTCCCAACGGCAACATTATTTTGAACACAGCCAGATTCAAGCGCTGATATGTCGGTANAGTAACATTTTTTCCTTTTCCTTGAATCTTTTCATGTGTCCCTTTTTGTAAGGGTGGAGAATACATTTCCTTTATGCTGCGGCGGAATGCTGCGAAACTAATTCGATTATTATTGCAACATTTCCTCACCACATCGGGAGAATGTTGACATTTTTCACATCGACAAAGTAACGGCAACATTCCGATACAACATGGACTTAGAGGTTTTTGGGAATTGTAAAGTTGTCCTCCTTGTCACGAGATGGAGACGTAGGTCTCGCTTTTCTCACAGTACACAAAAGTGTCCTCCCTCTCCCAGGAATCGTCCTGCATAGGAATGTTTAGTACCTTGCCAGTTCCCAAGCAGCATGTTTATGTTAATTTTACGTAAAATGAATTAAAAATTTTTGCCCATTTTATATCATTTTTACGTAAGCCATCATCAAGATAATGTCAACATTTTTGCTGAAATGTCACCTCTGTAATACGTAAACGGTGATATATAATTAACGTAAACTTTACGTAAAATTGACATTCCCTTTTGCATTCCAAACAGCATGTTTACATTCATTTTACATGAGATTCATGTTAATTTTATATCCCCGTTTGCTTGATGGGATTCTTTTCTTCCCTAATCCCGTGCACTGCTGTAATAAAAAGCTTAACTTCAGCATTTAAGGATTCCCAGAGTTTAAAAATATATATTATAATTTCATGTTTTCCATATATATATTCATGGATTGCATTCTAAATAGTGTTAGGATAGTAATAAAACCTGATACTTTGTTAGGAAAGCTAGTACTTAATAGCACTTATAGGATGCAGCGAACAAGGGTTCCATCTAGTGTGAAATCTTGGTACCGCACCTGCGGGATGGTCAGCTAAAGTTTCATGTAGATGGTGTGGTGTTATTTTACATAAACTTGATAGCATGTACTTCACGTCAGATGAAGTGACGTCAAGTTTTTGTAAAATGCACGAACACTTTAGTGACGTAAATATAGAAACGTAAATTTTACGTAAACATGATGTCATTCTCATGGCAATCTCAAGAAATTTACATGGTTTGCAAAAAATTGATACCTTGTTTACGTAAACATGTTACTTGGGATGTCTCACATTGTCTCTTCTTAGGTATCAATGAACAAGGACAATTCATCGCTTGTTATCCTCATATTCGAGACAGATTCATGGGGGTCACTATATGCTATCCCTAAAAGGAACTCTTTCCAAGAACTCGTTGATTACATCCTATAGGACAATGAAAACAATGTCTCTGTGATCTCAATCATTCATACCCCCATCCTGAGGACTAGATGAGGGAAAGAAGGGCTGATTTCATGGACCGTCCATAGAACATTGCAGGTGGACCTTTTACTGTAATACCTCGTATGTCACATTTCGCACTTCCAGGGGAAGATCACCACCAAAAATGCACTTTGTCTCCTGCCAGTACATGATACAGATACTGTATTATGCATGGGTAGGGGTTATACCAGTAAAGGATTCGTCCTGTTGATGGGAATGTCTGGATTGAGAGGTAAAGTAAATGATACGAAATGATGCAATGAATAATTCAATATTGGTCGAATATCGGTCCGGTTCGGGACCAGTGAAGCCTATACTTTTCCATAATGCCATTATAGGCACTGATTAGGTGCCTGTGAAACAACATTTTTAATGAACATAGCAGCAACGTAAATCCTGAAAAGTTTCAGCAATTTGAACATAAAATGAACGCTGTTCAGTGGTACCGGAAGCACGGCAGAGATTGTTGGAGATTCCGTTTTTGTCACCGATCTTGCTGACCGAGAGGGCAATGCTGGCGACCAGGAGGCAGCCGACATAGGAGAGAATTATTACTCCGTGAGCACTCTTGCTCTCTGGCAGAGCCAGGTAGAGGAGGAACATGAGAAGCAGGAACACTGCCAGCAGGATAATGAGTGCAAACTCTATGAGGAACATTGTTCTACTTTCTACGTGCTCAATGGGGCAAGCAAGGGCCACAAGCTGTATCGACTCGCTGCCATTCCCTGCATCATCGATGCAATATCGGGTTACCTGGATCTCATGGCTGTCAACCTCAATCTCAAATGCCCCAGTCGGTAATAAAGTGAAAATGTCCTCTGGATTCTCTGTAGACTGCAAAATAGGATGACTGCCTGGAATCCCCTGGCATTTCGGCCTGCTCATAACGTCGAGGATATCTTTC